GAGGAGGCGTGAGTTTGAAATTTGCATACTCAGTCTCAAGGCTAGAAGGCTAAGTTGACCCATGATTGGATTCCCGGAGCAGCACACAGGAGAATAGTGAAGGGCAATGAGATGCTCTGAAGATGGGATCCACCACACTTCATGGCACCAAGAGTGGATTGTGGGGAAAAATGGACATGGGATGAAAAAGAAAAGAAATAAGAAAAAGAAAAGAAACTAACTGAAAGCAAAATAATATAGGAAGAGAGAGCATAAGGGCTTCTTTAGCAAAGTCTGTAAAGCAAACCCTCCCAGGGAAATCTATAATAGTCTAATTTTTTTTCTGAGTGTTTCTGTGTATGCACATGCATTGCACACATGCATTTGTGTATCTATTCCTATCATCATTGTCTCTATTTCTATCTCTATGTTTTGTGTGTGTGTGTGTGTGTGTGTGTGTGTGTGTGTGTGTGTGTGTGTGTATACACCTGTGGGCGTGGGTGTGTCCACATTCCAAAGCTCCAATCTCCTGTAAGCCAAAGGATTTACATTCCACAAGTGAAGAACATGTCGTACAGAGAATTGCAGTCATGTCATCTCTTGTTCTGCTCATTGAGCAATGTCTCCTGGTACATAGAAAAAGGTGGGCTTCCCCACCTATTGAAACTGACTCACTTTACTGCTACACACACACACACACACACACACACACACACACACATATACACACGGTCTCTGCAGTTGACAGATATGAGTGTTTACTAGATTTTCATTATTTTTCTACTTGCAAACACTGGAAATAGTAGGCAGCCCCCCACCCTGAAATCGAAGTGAGTGACTGTGATGAAACGGGCCGTTCCTACAGATACTCTATTTAGAGAGTCACCAAACATCATATTCAACAAAATGAATTAAATTCATTCATTCATCATTACCATAAATGTATTTTATGCAATCCATTCCAATTCTAAAATTCAAACCTTTTAAATTTTAGGAGGAAGGATGGTTAAATAAAGACCAGAGAGATTTGGACTACTGTAACTTGAAAGGTAAAAAGACCTGCAGTCATCTGCAGATTGTATTTTTAATTATACTTTTAGTTATTAGTTAATTGGAATTCTCTTTAAATAGAAGTGAAATATAAAAAAGAAACATGGTTTTTAATTTGTTTTGAAATATCACATTATCCATATTGAAACACTATTAGATTATTTTTTTAAAAAAAATCAAATGCTGATGCATAAATATGCCTTCCAAACAATATGATCGTATTTTTGGTGTTCCTTTTTTTATTGGGACATAATTTTCCAATTCTTTACCACTTTGGGGGAGGGCAGGGTGTAACATGACAATCCATATTAAATCAAGTAGCGGAAGTAAAATTAGGGTATCAAAATTCAAAGCTAAACAGAAGGTCAGAACCTTTCCAGGATAAAATAGTAGTCAAACCTTCTGCAAGCTTTCAATCCAACGTCTGCACTCAGTAAGAGAGAATTGAATATGAATGGCTGGGGAATTCTGGGAGTTGAAGTCCAGACATCTTCAAGTTGACAAGGTTGAGAAACACTGTCCTAACCACTGCTGGGGAATTCTGGGAGTTGAAGTCCAGACATCTTCAAGTTGACAAGGTTGAGAAACACTGTTCTAAGGGTTATTAGAAAAGCTCCAAAACAGAGCTCTGAAACATTGTTTGGCAACTGCAGCCTGAGGGCACAGGCAACTCTTAGCCTACTTTGATGCCCTTGTGTGAAAGGGTAGCATTCCAGACAGTGCTATGAAAAAGGCCATCCTATCTTAAATAAAAATACTTATTATGCATGGATGCCGGCCTTTTTATTTTGCTCATAAAATGAGCATCAAAAAGAGGAAATGCCTTATATTTGGAAGTGTTAGAATGTATCTCTACTTAAACAAATTGCACATAGTTCATGATGCCTGGGGAGGACGGGACTGCTTCTTTCTTCTTGACATCTAGAGAATAGCTGCCAAATTGATTTAAAAAAAATACAGAGCTAAACGGGCAAAATGTTTAACTGTCATAAAATAGTTCAGATGTTCCTCTCTGCTTTGTAACAAAAATGAAAGACTTTACTAAAAGATATCCTGCCTTGGGAAATTGATTATAACCCAACCTTTTGTGGCCTTTAACTACTGAACAAACAAATAAGGATGTGTGTGTTCTTAAAAAGAAGTCTTTCGCTAGAGTTTGTTCATTTTTACTAGCTCATAACTGAGCAAGAGCAATGTTGGGTATGTCAAATTGAACTTGGCCTGCTCAACTGCTATTTTAACCACTACACCATGCTATTTTTCAGTTGATTGGATGCATTATGGACTCTTGTGATGTTTCATTATCATCTGCTTCCCATTAAAATTGGTGCCAAGTGCAAATTAAGAGTAGGACAAAATCTACAAAGCCTCTAGATTGGAAATACTTCAGATAGTATTTTTTGTCCAAAGAAGAGTATATATCACTCTTTGCCAGGATTAACATCGGATCACGATACTTTTATCCCAAATTCATAGTAGTCTGTCATATGATATGCAGCTCTTGCTGCTATTGCCACATGCTGATAGTTATTTAACAGGATGCAAGCCAGGGGTGAAATCAACTTACCTTTGCTACCAGTTCACAAATGTGAGCACACAAGCCACCTCCATGCACATGCCACCTCAGTGCATGCGCAGGACCTTCCACGCATGCGCAGAGCATCAAAAATGAAATGATGACATCCAGGCAGGTGGGTGGAGCCTGCTACTGAGCACGCCTGCAAAGGTTAGTAGAATAGCGAGGGAGAGAGTTCACTGTGCCACGCGATTTAGGTTAGCTGGAAAGCAGGAAATCCCACGATTCTAGCGAATATAAATCACAGCTGATCGTCGGAAATACCAGTTTGCCCAAACTGGTAGCATTTTTTTACTACTGGTTTGGGCGAACTGGTCTGAACCTGTAGCATTTCACCCCTGATGCAAGCCCATTCAATGGATTCCTTTTCTCTCTTAGTGAGTTATCTTAAATCTGAAAACAGGGAAGTCAACTTAAATTTGCCAAATCGTTTAAAATAATTGTTGTAAATCTTTCATGTATAACCCTACTCCTAACTAGAGGATTATAGCATTTTTCATTTAAAAAATAAAACAGATTTGCCTAAATCACTGTTTTGCTGGAAAGCATAACAAGGTACTGTTTCATCTCTCCCTAAAGAATTTTAAAACAGCTACAATTGAATTACCTTTGTGAAAGCTCGGTGACATAAGCCACACAGTTCAATCAAATAAGCCAGGGTAAAGATGGCATTCTGAATGACAAAGCTCAGCAATTTTGAAAATGGCTCCAGCAGGCTCTGTAATAATAACACCAATAATCATAATTATGTCAGAACATTTCCATGCCTCTGCAAAATGCACAATGCACATGTTATGAAATTTTCCACCCTAACAAAGCTTTTAGTTTTCACTTGGAAGGTGCAAGGCAGTGGCTGTCCAAGCTGATTCATCTCATGGCTGATACTCAGGAATTTCCCAGCCAGTACCTTGAATGAACTTCTGGAGGATATTTCAGGGGAAAATGGAACTTTCCTTCTGGGATAGTCGCTAGATAAATGCTAAAAGTTATCCCAGACTGCTAGCCTCTATCATTGGAAGAGCAAACAATAGCACCAAGGGATCAATTTATGCCACTCTTTTGGAGACCGAAAGAGATCAGAAATTTCTGGATCCTTCTCAGAATTTCAAATGCAATGCTCCGCAGCAAAGGAAGTTCAACAGCAATCATACATCAACAAGTTGTAGGCATCCATTGGAAACCGACTGTAGTCCAGATGGACAGAAGTAATGCCTACATTTCATAAATAAATAAATTAGTGCTAAAATTATCCAGAAAGAGTCCCTCAAGATTGGTTTGGCTAAATCTGCTAATTACCGATTCTTGTTCTGCTGATACATCTGGTGTAAAATTTAAGCATCACTGGACATGGGCGTCAGGAGGTGGGGTTGAGCCTGTACTTTGGCTATGTTAATTGTTATGGATGGATCTCGGCTGCTGTTTTATGGGCTGTTGCTTTATGTGCATTTTGAGGGAGGGAAACATGTCTTTCTGTTTTTTATAATTTTGTTGTTAGTTGCCCAGAGTAATCAAGCTGAGATAGGCAGCAATATAAATTGAACAAACAAACATTGTAAAGACAAGGAGATATAAAAGCTTGTGTTTGTGGGTGGGGAAGGGAAGATCTAGTCCAAAGCTTCTTTTTTTAAAAAGTTGCTCAGGGTTTTAATATTCCCTGTTCCTGTTTAACATCTACATGAAGAAACTGGGTGAGTTCATCTTTCGCAGGGGGTGATATCTCATCAGTATGCTAAGGATACTTATTTATATATCCCTCCCTGGAGTTACAAGTGATGTTGTTCAGATATTTTCTCAGTGTCTAGGGCCCTTGATAGGCAACAATAGGCTCCAGGCAACTTCAGCAAAACTAGGTGGCTGTGGACTTCCTGGATCCAATGATTTGATCTTTAGTTTTGGATGGAATAGCACTACTTCATGTGAATATACAGTTTGGGAGTTCTCCTGCAGTTCTATCTCAGTTTAAGGATCGGAGCATAAAAAAATTGGCTGAGTGACTTCATTCAGTCCGTCTCTCTCAGTCAAATTCACCTCACAGAGTTGTTGTAGGGAAAATAGGAAGAAGAAGGAATATGAGGAATATTAGAGAATATTCCAGAGAAGAGCAACAAAGATGATTAGGGGACTGTAGGCTAACACATATGAAGAACTGATGCAGGAACTGGGTATGTCTAGTTTAATGAAAAGAAGGACTAGGGGAGACGTGATAGCAGAGTTCCAATATCTCAGGGGTTGCCACAAAGAAGAGGGAGTCAAACTATTCTCCGAAGCACCCGAGGGTAGAACAAGCAGCAATGGGTGGAAACTAATCGAGAAGAAAAGCAACTTAGAACTGAGGAGAAATTTCCTGACAGTTAGGACAATTAATTAGTGGAACAACTTGCCTCCAGAAGTTGTGGATGCTCCAACACTGAAAGTTTTTAAAAAGATGTTGGATCTAAAATGGTATAAGGTTTCCTGCCTAGGCAGGGGGTTGGACTAGAAGACCTCCAAAGTCCCTTCCAACTCTGTTATTCTATTCTACTCTATTCTATTAGATATGTGCAACACCTTGGGTTGTATATGGGGAGGGGGGGATCTTTTTAAAAAGTGACAGCCATTGTAGCGTAGCTACTATTGATTTGATTCACAAGGTAGAAGCTTATTTATGGGCATTGTTGTGGTTGTTGATTGACATTATACTATTATTATAGCTGGCTGTGCAGTCAGTGAGCCAACTGTATAGACTGGATTTGGCATTTTATCTACTTATTGAATCCTTCCCAAGGACCTGGGACAGGCAGATTAAAAAAATATTATTAGGACATATTAAAATTTAATATTAAGGTAGCTGCCTAGAGTCACTGCTGAGAGATGAGTGGCCGTATAAATGGAAATAACAAACAGAACACCTGAACGGATTCTATTTTATGCTTCAGTTATTCCCTTTATCCAAGAGAACTGTAAAAATGTAAAAAGCTGACAGAGAGAGTAAATACAGATACTCAACACAACACCTTTTTAAATAAAAGCAAATCTCACTGCATTAGTATTAGAACAGCTATTTAGTTTCCCACTGTTTCCCTTTTAACTTACCCTGGCAGCACTACTGGTGGGAATCTTCAGCAAACAGATCATTATCCTTACACTGGAATCCAGTGAACACTTCAGGCAAAGAAGGACACAGAGGAATTACAAGCTATTCTTCACATGTTCATTCAGTATTTAGGAATGTCAGATTAATCAAAGAAAAGCAGAGCTGCACAATCAATAAACACAGAATTGAGAATTCAACGTAACTCCTGGGTTCTAAAAACCTCTATAGCTTAATTTAAAGAGAGAAAGAGGGGAGGGACTAAGTTCCTAGCTCTCACGTATGAAATAAATGCTTGAAAGAATGTGAGAAACACTACTGAAAACTTCAGAGACCAAGGGTACAAAGCTGTAGAGTTGGAGTAGGCTGGGCAAATAGTGCTTGGTCACCTTCTCTGAAAGCAATGTAGGTCTTTCAAATGTGCCTACACCTAACTTCTTGCTGGATAGCAGGGAAACTATGACACTGGAAAGGCACAGATACAGATCAAACACCAACAAGGTAACAATATGCATCCTGGGGACAGGACAATTCATTAACCTGGCATCACTGGCTGGCTAGTGCACATCCTTAGACAAGAATGTATGTTCTACATTGTGCCTGGCTTGTTCCCCAGTCACTGATGCCGAAAGGTGGGTGGAATCCTTGGTGCAACATATGCATTGGAACTGCCTTATTACGTTTTTTGCACTCTACAAGCCTCCTAAACACTATTCACGAAAAACAGGCTGTTTTTGGGAGGTCTGCAGAGTGCAAAAACTTTTTTAAAAAAATTTACCTCTTCAAAATCTTGGTGCGTCTTATACTCTGAAAAATATGGTACTTCCTATCTTTGCCCAAAAAAAATTCCAAGAAAAAATTCTGGTGCCCAAATAGAAATGGAACACCACTGTCCATTCTCATTTCTACCCCCATGAAAAATAAACATTTGACCAAAATACACACACATAAATCAAAATATATGTAGCCCAGGGTAAAATAGAAGTTAATAGATAGCTGATTTATATGTCTGGTGTTCTTTACAGTGACTGGACACAGTGTTTGTCTCTCAAGAATTTAGACACAACTCTCTCCCAGAATATACTAGATTGGAACTAGAAACTCTACCTTAAGGGGCAAAACACATGGTAGTTTGGTAAAGAAAGTTTGAAACTGGTTGCTGATTGTAGTCCAAAGGTTGCTTGGGGAATCCATTGGCAAAGCTTCCATAAATGTAGCAATGTTTTCCAAGCAGCGTAACATTCCACCTCCTGCTGGCAAATTCTTTTTGTTGTTTAAACCCTAAGAAAACAAGTAAGCCATTCAGGCAAAAGATGTAAAATAAAAACAGGAAGGTATTTTCGTTTTGCTTAAAATATGTATAAATCTAAGCGCTTCACGTTTTTTCTCACAAATCTGCTACAACAGGCAGTCTTCCTGCTTCACGGGTAACAGTGTATGCTAAAACTCTTAAGAAGAAAAAGAGCAGAAAAAGTTTTGAACATGCCAGTGTAAAGAGATCTTTCATGTCCATCATCCTAGTTTTTCTTGATCATTCAATGCCCTTTGATAACATTGATTACTGTATCCTTCTGGACTGGGTTTGGGGTTTAAGAGTGGGGGGCACAATGTTCACTGCTTTCCTCCAAAGCCAGTTCCATTTGGTGTTGTTGGGAGGGAGCGATCTGGCCTGGAGCCTTGCTTTGCAGGTTTCCTTGGGCCTTTACACTTACGTTAAATAGCATCAATATACTGAAGAGATACATCTCTACCATGGATCAACCAAGCAATCAATATTTTATCTCAATGCTGGAACCTATGAGGGTTTTGATGGGAGAGAACAGGCTTCAATTCAACCCAGCAAGACAGAAATTATGAGTTATAAGGCTCTTTGGATCTGGAGACTTTTCATATTTAGTTCTGAATGGAGTTGCATTTGAACGGGATCCGTTCCAGGAACCTGAAGCCCTGTTGATGTCAAGGGGATTTATTCAAAAAATATGTATACGATTGCAGTATGATACACACACTACAATAAACTACTTTCCCTTCCTTTTCCTTCCTAGCCTTGGCGTTGGGCAATCATCTGTCTAAGTGAAAGGGGACAATGAGATAGGATGTTCCTTTAGAGTTTGTTCTATTATCAGATGGACATGAATGACTACTTCCAAGAGTGAAAAAAGGATGTTCACTCCATCACAACACGGGCAACTTTCTTTCAATCCAGTCCTCCTATCTCAAAGTAATTGCAATTTATCTCAGGTTCTGTGCTTTCCTTCCTCATTCTTCATCCTCCCTGCCCAGACGTCTGCTGGTAAAGAAATAGATTTCTCTAGCCAGCAATCTGAATAGCTTTTTTGCAAAAGGTTCAGAAATTAAACTAAGGGCTGGATGCAGCCTTGGGGCAACAGAATGCTCACTCCTATGTTACACAATTGAATAAATGTCTTCAGCTTACTGCAGTACAAGCAAACTTTAGAATGGAAAACACTGTATAAGGGTAGAAAATGAAACACTTGTCCATACAACTAATGGGAAAATAGTATCAAGAGTGGACCTTAAAGAAGTAGAATAGACTGACCTCTAAGAGTTGGCTCAATGCAGCTATAGAACTCAGCTCACTGAAATCCATAAGAGAGGTGGCCAAGGTTCGTAAAAAGTTTCCATCTGCAAATGACAATTGTTTTAGTGGGATTTCATGTGAACATAATGCAGAGTCTCAGAAATAAATTATAAGCACAGCATATTACCCTTGATGTTGCTCTGAAACAGCTGTGGAAATATACCATTGGGAGCAAGCTGATGGAAAATGCAACGCAGAAACTGCTTTGCCACACCTGCAGCGTTTCCTGGAATCATCATACTGGGGGTGGGGGGGGGGCGTTAAAGTAAAGGAAGAGAGAAAAATATTGTGACCATACTAAAATATTTCATCATGAAGGAACCAACAAGAACACAGATGGACATTAAGAATCAGATTATTCATACTTTACAGCTTGAAAGAAATAAGAACTAGGAAAAACAACAATCCTTTGAAAGATCTAATGTGTGTGTGTGTGTGTGTGTGTGTGTGTGTGTGTGTGTGTGTGTGTGTGTGTGTGTGTGTGTGTGTG